GGCGCATATGAGCCCGCATCAGTGTCTATTCTTGTTCTCATGTCTGAAGATACATAAATACAATGTGAGCTCAGAATGAACACATTTTTCTATCTGGGTTGCTGCGCTGCAAGTTTTGCGCGGTTTTTGCTGCAAATTTGGCACCAATTGTCCGACAGCAAGATCTGTCGCCAAAACCATAGCCTAATGCAGACTGCGCGCAGATTGGTAGCAAATTTGATCAAAAACCCACAGCAAAACCATAGCCATCTGTGTCTACATTAGGCTACGGTTTTGGCGACAGATCTTGCTGTCGGACAATTAGTGCCAAATTTGCAGCAAAAACCGCGCAGAGCTTGTAGCGATTTGACGGCAGATTGGCAGCAGAAACCGCACAAACCTTGCTGCGCTGCAAGCTTTGTGCGGTTTTTGCTGCAAATTTGGCACTAATTGTCCGACAGCAAGATCTGTCGCCAAAACCGTAGCCTAATGTAGACACAGATGGCTATGGTTTTGGCGACAGATCTTGCTGTCGGACAATTAGTGCCAAATTTGCAGCAAAAACCGCGCAGAGCTTGTAGCGATTTGACGGCAGATTGGCAGCAGAAACCGCACAAACCTTGCTGCGCTGCAAGCTTTGTGCGGTTTTTGCTGCAAATTTGGCACTAATTGTCCGACAGCAAGATCTGTCGCCAAAACCGTAGCCTAATGTAGACACAGATGGCTATGGTTTTGGCGACAGATCTTGCTGTCGGACAATTAGTGCCAAATTTGCAGCAAAAACCGCACAAAGCTTGCAGCGCAGCAAGGTTTGTGCGGTTTCTGCTGCCAATCTGCCGTCAAATCGCTACAAGCTCTGCGCGGTTTTTACTGCAAAACTGCAGCAATTATCCGACAACAAGCTCTGCCGCATATCTGACGGCAATTTGGCAACAAGATTTGATATAACAGATCCTGCATCAAATTTGGTGTCTATTTGCCATCAAAAATTGATAGCAAGCTTTGGGGTCGTATTCTTGACTAATATCGTATACGATATTTCGATAAAAAGCTATAGTATACGTAACATGAACTATAGCTTTTCATAGAAATATCGTATGCGATATTTCTATGAAAAGCTATAGTTCATGTTACGTATACTATAGCTTTTTATCGAAATATCGTATACGATATTTCGATAAAAAGCTATAGTATACGTAACATGAACTATAGCTTTTCATAGAAATATCGTATGCGATATTTTTCGAGAATAAAGCCCCTGCTCGAAATCTGTTCGCGTAGGTTTGGCTATCTGGATATATATATTTTTTTTATTCATATGTTATATTTTTATTCATATATTCATATATTATATATCTCTTATTATATAAATATATTATATAAATATTATATATTCTTATGTAATATAAAAAATACAAATTTGGTATGAAATTATATAAATATCTTATTTTGTGTTTTTATATTTTCCTTGCAAATCTAATATTTTTCTTGTTACTTTAAAAATTGTTGATTTTTATATTATAGCAAAGTTATATAACTTTTTTTTTAATGTAATAATTTATTTGAAGAAGAAATGAAAAAGTCTGTTATTGACGATTAAAGAAATATCATAATTTTTCATGTATATTAATGATAACTGCAATTTATGATCACAAACACAAAATATCTTTTACATAGTAAAATAGAAATCACAAGTATGTGATAGTTTACATAATAGTCGTTGTTTAGTCTTGACAGAGCTGTAGATGTTGACAGACGTTTTGCTACAGACATAAGATAGCAGCTAGCGGTTCATGGTTATATAGTCAAAGCTTGAAATAAGATTCGACTATGAATATCGGCCATAGGGCATTCGGAGTCCATATATACTATGTTCATGGTTTGCACCCTCACGGTGGAATTATAGAGGAATACTCAATTGTGATTGGTTAATTTCTTACGGCTTAAAGCTTACTACACTTATTATAGATCGGAACTTAAGCCCGTATCACACTAGTGATTGGCGATTGATGATTGACGATTGAAGATTGAAATTTGACTAATTGGAACAAAGCAAGCCAAGATTGAAGCTCGTTGATTCGTTAAAATTTAATCTTCAATCGTCAATCATCAATCGCCAATCGCTAGTGTGATACGGGCTTTAGGAACGCTGCACACGAATTGACATAACAGTAACGTAAGACGTACCGTAAAAATGGACCAATAACAATTGAGTACAAAAATGGCGACCTTACGGTTCGACGATACTCAAAGTGATTGGTCAATTCTTAGGGCTTCGCACACAAATTGACATAACTGCATATGCATAGCATATGCATAAGACCGCATGTACCAATGAGCATCGAGTATTAAGTCGCCATATTGGTGTTCGATGCTTAATATTCGATGCTCATTGGTCCATACGATCTTATGCTATGCATATGCAGTTATGTCAATTTGTGTGCGATAGCCCTTACGGTACGTCTTACGTTACCTTTATGTCAATTCGTGTGTGGCGCTCCTAAAGCTGGCCACACGGGTGTATATCAGTTGGACACGGGGCAATTGAACACAGTCCAATCACAAGTCGCTGTTCCAAGGGACCCTACAAATGTCTCTAATCACACGGTGCTGTGATTGGCTGTGTTCAAATGCACCGTGTCCAAGTGCACCGCTCCCGGCCACACACCCTTTTCGTAATAGTAACCGTAATGGCTCCTGCACACAGGACGC